GGGGTAGGAAGGGACATTGTTGAGATGGTGCATATAGCATCTTAACCATGTTGCAAAATGGGGAGAGGACGCACCCGCTCGTAGCGTTGAGATGTTGAGGATAGCATCTAAACGCTACCGCTATAGCTACGAGAGGAAAAAAAAGGATGCCATGACGTCCTCTTTAAACACCTCTTTTATTGGTAACTTTTTTTGCAGCACAGAAGCTAAAATTTAGCCGACATCTTTGGGAGAGAAAGAGACACGCGGCTGTAGAACAGTTGCTTTCGTGATTATAATGAGGTTTTTTGTTGTATGTTCTTAGGTAGTCATTGTTGTGTTGCTTAGGAAGCTACACGGTTATGGTATCTAGAGAGCATTATGGAGCAAAATGAGATTCATTGCATTCTTCCAATCGTAGTAGAATATGCATTTTGTACAAGATTGGCGTAGTTCCAAGTTTGAGATGAACCAATACATATCACGTGTTAGTTTTTCTATTCCTATCTTGTATTTTATTTATTATTGATTAACGGTACTTTTTGTACTATGGAGAAGAAATTAGTTAGACCCTAATTGGAAGAGCTGCTATTAGAAGATTAGGTTATTTTATTTCTCAACCTCTTTCTCAACCACCATATTTCTCTCTCCCAACCATGTGATCATTTGATTAAAAATATAATATTTTTTGAATTAGCTTCTGAAAATAATTAAAAAGAAATAGTAATGAATGATATTGACATGAGACAAGATCTAATATTTGACCTCAAAGACAATACTTTATTAATGGAGAAAAAACGTGTGATTAATGAGATGCACGTTGTTATTTTAATTTTCTTTTTATTTATTTATTTTTAATTTTACGTAAGAGTTCGATTATACGCTAAAAGTAGTGATGCTTTTGTAAATTTTATAGAAAGGAAAAATTGAAAGAATAACGTGAATGCAAAGAATTAGTCGAATTTCATTGATATAATAAAATATATATTGTAGAGATAAATCTCACATCATAATTCAAATATGAAATGCAAACTATAGAATAATGTAAATATGAATATAACGGTCAAAATCTCAAACCCATCATACTATATTCTCTCAATAGAGCAATGGTTTTACCATATTTTATGATTTTTATGATATTATATATTTCATAATGTAAATAAAAAAACCTACATAGATTAAGATTTGTTGCAATACAAGTGACATAATCCCTCATGGTCTCTTTGTTACAACAAGATTTTTGAAAGATTTCCAAATGTTTATCTACGGAAGATAAATATCGTCATCATATGAAATAGAATGGTTCTTAATTATTCTTGGCAGAATTTCTTTGGATTTCAAAGATAAATGTTTGTGTATGTCAAATGAATGTTGTTGCGTAATTGTTATCATGGAATAGAATGATAAATTATTTTGTAAGATTTTATAGATTCTAAATTTAACTTTATCATACATATTTGAATTTTTAATTAATAATTCTAGATTAAAAGCCTATGTAATAATTTTATTCTCATTTCAATGAAAATTCAAATAATTGTTTTATTACATTCATTTAAGAAAACATGATGAATTTAAAAATGATTTGTTAAAAAACACTTTTTGTCCCAATATTTTCAATAAAGTATAATAATTTAGTCTCTTAATTCTAAATGGTAACAATTTAGTCTCTATACTATTCAAAATGTAAAAATTTAGTCCAGGTAACAATATAGTCAATCAAACTTTAAAATGTAACCATTTAATCCCAGAATTAAAAATTTATTACAATTTATCCATCCATATCTTGAAAAATCTAACGTCAATTTTTATTAAGTTTATAAACACATCAGTCTCTAATAAACCCATTAAATCTCAACAACATTTCCAGGCTAAATCATTACAAATTTAGAATTATATGGATTAATTTACATTATTTTCAACAATATTCAAATTAGGGAGAAAAAAAGTTTCTTTTCTATAACCTATATATATAGTATTGGTGGGGGAGCCGATCGTACAAGTGACCCTCCACATTCCTGGTATTGTTCGTTTTAAACATAATTCTCAACGACCTTCACACTAATGAGATATTCTTGATCCCTCACGTATATATCCATGATACTCTTTGAAATTATTTTTGCACTCCTTACAAATCGAACAAGTGTATAAATGAATGAATGAGATAAACAGACGAATGTTGAGAATATATCGAAGAATATTAAGATGGTAGATAAAGGAATTTGTTGTGGTGAATGCCATCGTCGCATTCTTTTAAACCTTTTTTTAACCATGCTTCCACGGTCTCAAATCCGTCTCATTCGGATGTAGTATCGATTCATTCATGTACCCCTCCCGAACGTCACACATACAAACTAAAAGTATATAAATTAATGAATGAGATAAATAGATGAATGTTGAGAATGGTAGATAAACGGCGGATTCATAGGGGTGAATGCAATCATGGCATTAAAATGAATACATATTATTGGAGTGAAAATCAAGATTAGGGAGACTTAAATTGATTTCTAAGAACAGAGGGATGTTGGACAGGCATTACTTGGATTTCGCCACAAAACTCTGGTTTCTGCTTTCTTTAATTAGGGTACATACAGAGAAGAGAAACGGGTGATTCGGTGTTCGCGGAGAGGAGGAGGCTATAAATATAGATTGTGAGAGCATGGTTCGGTATTTTATGTCTATTGAGGGATAACCCATATTTTCCAAAAGTGGGAATTATGACAGGTTATGGAAAGGATGGAACCCCCAAATCCAAGCTCCAAGACGACAACTTTCACTCAACTTTCTCCATAGCTCGTAAGCACATTCTTTTTCATTTTTGTTTCATTCGTCATTTAATATTGATTTGCTACTTCTCTTGGTCTTGTGCAAATCTGTCTACAAGGGAAGGGAAGTGTTGATTTATGCATGAAAGATTAAATTTACTATAACCCATCAGCAAGTTTTTGAGTTTATTGGTACGTGGTGTCGAGGGAGTGTTAAGGTAACTCGTGTTGTGGCTTGTGTATAATCCCATTAGGGATGTCCACAGGTTAGGTTGGGTTGGGTTGGGTCAGGTTGCGGAGTTTTTTTAGACTAACCCGAAGCTATTTTGAAACTCGGGTTGGGTTGGGTTCAAATTGTGAACCAGTTTGAAATTTCAGTTTTGGAAAAAACACAAACGGACCCAATCGAAAAAAAAATCTAACTCAAGCTCAATCTTTATGGTTTAGGTTGGGTTGTCTGAATTGTTGATGTTATGAAGTTTTAAACATGCCTATTACACATTAGTTTAAGTTTTTAAGCTTTTGAGTTTATTGGTAATTAACATTGTATAGGAGTAGAAAGTGTTGTATTCAAAGTCCTGTAATATCATTTCATCACCATTTAAAAATGTACCGTACCCTTTACTTTTCGAGTTAATGGCGATACAACCTTTTTTTTTTGGAAAATTGTCATTTTTGTACTTATTTTTCTTCTCAGAAGTCTAGGTCGTTTTTTAAAAAAGCTACTTGTTCTAGTTATAAAAAAAAATCCCCCTCGGATCGAAATTTCACATATGAAAATAGCGAGAAAATTGAACGAGAATAAACTTTGATTTGATAGCATCTTACAAATTTAAGCAAAATCCATTTCTTTTCGATCTTGGTTACCAATTGAGATTTATCAATTTTGATTTTATTGCGGACAACTCTAGATAAACAAAAAAAGAAAAAAAAAATTACGACAAATCGCAAATTGAACTTATCAATTTATCAGTAAATTTCAGTTAAAATTCCTGCAAATTTGTGTTTAAATTGATATCACATGAATGAGAGAGAAATTATAAAGATTTAGAAAAGAAAAAATCTCACTGAAACGTAAATGTATTTCAAGAAAAACTGAGTATAAACAATCGGAATTCCTAACAAATACTGTATTTAAAAGGACACCTATCCATTTCGTGATTTAGGATGTGTTTGGAAGTAATAATAGAATGAATGATTTTAAATTAAGAGATTTTAAGAATAATTGATTTTCCAGAATTACCACCAAAATCAATTTTGAGTGATTTTATGTTTTCCTAAAATCAATTTTTAAATTTGTCAAATATGATCAATCGAAATAGAAGTGATTTTAGCAAAGACACTTTTGTCATGCCAAAATCACTCTCAAACACACTCTTAAAAAAAAAAAAAGTGATTCCAATCATGCATGAATTGGCAGCGGAAGGGTGGGGAAGAGACCCGACATGCCGGCCATTAAAAAAAACGATGATTCCGATCAGAATTCTAGTCAATATACCGGCCAAAATCGCTTTTATTTTATTTTTCAACATTAAAAAAAAAGATTTTATTGTTGTGAGACTTTAAAGAAAGAAAGAGCGGATAAAAAAGTAATTTCAAAGTCAATAAAGAGGTTCGAATAACTAACTTTTGAATAGAGACATTAGAATAAGTAACTTGTAAAAAGAGACCTACGAAAACTTTGGGTACAAAAATGACAATGTCTGCTCTTTTTTTTGAATGATTAATTTGGTTCTGATTTTCAGGCGACGTCGATGGGGAAAACGATTGTCCTATCGAGGAAGTCCGGCTGACGGTTCCGATCACCGACGATCCATCGGAGGCGGCATTGACGTTCAGAACATGGGTTTTGGGGCTGCTTTCGTGCGTGCTTCTGGCATTTGTGAACCAGTTCTTCGGCTACCGCCAAAACCAGCTCTACATTTCCTCTGTCTCAGCTCAGATTGTTTCTCTTCCTCTTGGAAGGCTGATGGCTGCAACTCTCCCTAAAAACACAATCTCCATTCCCTTCACAAACTGCGCCTTCTCTTTGAATCCTGGCCCCTTCTCCTTGAAAGAACATGTTCTCATCACCATTTTCGCCAATTGCGGATCCAGCAGTGTTTATGCTGTAAACATTGTCACCATTGTCAAAGCTTTTTACCATAGAAGTCTCCATCCTATTGCTGCTTTGATGCTCTCAATGACTACTCAGGTCTGATCTGTGTTTGGAAGTGATTTTGGCATGTCACAATCAATTTTGTCATTGTCAAAATCACTTAATTGATCGTATCTAGTAAATTAAAAAATTGATTTTAGAAAAACATAAAATCACTTAAAATTGATTTTGAAGGTACGGTAATTTTGGAAAATCAATTATTCTTAAATCTCTTTTTTTCAAAATCGCCTCTTCTACCATCACTCCCAGATATGCTCTAAATCTGCTCACACTTCCATTTCTTTCGGTTTATGTTACCATATAATGTGATGTTGTCTGTATGAATTTTACTTTAACAGATGCTTGGATATGGATGGGCTGGAATATTCAGAAAATTCCTTGTGGATTCTCCATACATGTGGTGGCCTGCAAATTTGGTTCAAGTTTCTCTCTTCAGGTTCTTGATAGAAATTGTAGGGTAATAATGAAAAAACCGTTTGATAACCATTTCGTTTTTAGTCAAAAATCTTTGTTTTTGTATACTTTGATTGTTAAGTTTTTGACCCTTCTTGAAAATACTCTTCTTATTTTCAAAGTTTGGTCCACATTTGGGAGATGTTTATGACAACTATATAACAAAGCAATGAAACTCATGCATGGAAGTAATGTTTCTAGGCTTTTATGTTTTAGAAATATAAAACCAAAAAACAAAATGATTACCGAAGGGGTGGAAATAATATCGACTCCTTTGATAATCATTTTATTTTTAAGTGAAATTCTTTGTTTTTGTATAATTTCATTGGAAAGTTTTTGAGCTTTCTTGAAAACATATTTCTATTCTAAATAAAAAATTACCCCATGTTTGTTTTTAAAACTTGGCCTATGTTCGTATGATGTTTACAAAAACTATATAACAAAATATCGGAACACATGGGTGAAAGTAATGTTTCTAAGCTTAAAAATATTAGATCTAAAAACGAAATGGTTATTAAAACGAAATTGTTGGGTTGGAATTTTTTGATTCCGAGTGAGTGAAAATACAGGGCATTGCATGAGAAAGAGAAGAGGCCAAGGGGCGGACACACGAGGCTGCAATTCTTCCTCCTTATTTTCATCTCAAGCTTTGCTTATTACATTGTTCCCAGCTATCTGTTCCCCTCCATATCTTGTATCTCTATTGCCTGCTTTATTTGGAAGAACTCCATCACTGCCCAACAGATCGGTTCGGGGTTCTATGGGCTCGGCATCGGCTCGTTCGGGTTCGACTGGTCCACAGTTGCTGGGTTCTTGGGCAGTCCACTGGCCACGCCTGGCTTTGCCATTATCAACGTCTTAGTTGGGTTTTTCATCATTGTCTATGTTATGCTCCCCATCACCTACTGGTCTAATGCCTACGAAGCAAAGCGTTTTCCGTTTATCTCGTCGCACACTTTCGACTCCTTAGGCAACACCTACAACATATCCCGAGTCCTTAATAGCAAAACTTTCGATCTCGACCAAGACGGTTACAATAACTATAGCAAACTATACTTGAGTTGCTTCTTTGCCTTTTCTTATGGGCTGAGCTTTGCAACTTTGACAGCAACAATTTCACATGTTGCTCTCTTCCATGGAAAGTAAGCAAGCCTTCTAATTGTTTGAACCAATCTCTCATTTGAACGCAACCGAAACTCGGGAACCTGTCTCAACTGCTTGCTTCTTTTTGCAGAACGATCTCGGACTTGTGGAAGAAGACGACGATGAATCAGCAAGGAGATGTGCATACAAGGATAATGAAGAGGAACTACAAAGAAGTGCCTCAATGGTGGTTCTACTCTATCTTAATTTTAATGGTTGCTCTTGCCTTGTTGGCCTGTGAAGGATTTGGCAAACAGCTTCAGCTGCCTTGGTGGGGAATTTTACTTGCTTGTGCAATTGCACTCTTCTTCACCTTGCCCATTGGAATCATTCAAGCCACAACTAATATGGTACAAAAAGAGACATATTTGAGTGTCATTTTATTTGGAGATTAATTATTCTCATTTAACTTTTTCAATGATTTTGTGGTTGTTTAGCAACCAGGATTGAATGTTATAACAGAGTTGATTATAGGGTATATTTACCCAGGGAGGCCCCTTGCAAATGTGGCTTTCAAGACTTATGGTTATATCAGCATGGCACAAGCACTCAGCTTTGTTGGTGATTTCAAACTAGGACACTACATGAAGATCCCACCCAGAGCCATGTTCACAGTCCAAGTAAAATCACTGTTTTACACAGGTCTCATTTACTTATCAGGAATCGAAATGAAGACTAACTAGAATATCGAATACGAACCTTGCAGCTCGTAGGAACGGTGGTAGCTTCGAGTGTATACTTCAGCACTGCGTGGTGGTTGCTAACAACCGTACCAAACATCTGCGACACGACTCTGTTGCCAGAAGGAAGTCCGTGGACATGTCCCGGCGACGACGTGTTCTACAATGCATCGATCATATGGGGAGTGATTGGGCCGATGCGAATGTTCACCAAGTACGGAATCTACCCAGAAATGAACTGGTTTTTCCTCATTGGGCTGCTCGCTCCGGTGCCGGGGTGGCTTCTATCCCTCAAGTTCCCTGACAAGGAGTGGCCCAAGTTGATAAACATGCCCATCATAATAGGAGCAACATCAGGGATGCCACCAGCAAGATCAGTGAACTACATAACATGGGGAGTAGTGGGGATCTTCTTCAACTTCTATGTGTACAAGAGGTTCAAGGGATGGTGGGCAAGGCACAACTACATTTTATCAGCTGCTTTGGATGCTGGTGTTGCATTTTTGGGAATTGTAATCTATTTCACATTGCAATCAAGGGACATATTTGGGCCAGAATGGTGGGGTTTGCCCAATGATGACCATTGCAAATTGGCCAAGTGCCCTACAGCTCCAGGGGTGGTGGCCAAGGGATGCCCACTTCTCTAGCCCTTCCCTTCCATCATCAACCTTAAAAGCTTCAAAGTAACATCAAAACTTGTTTGTACAGTTTGATCTGGATTTAATTTCTCTATTTGTTTTCATGGCAAATAAGGTTCTTTTGTTGATTAACCTTCAAACTTCTGACTTTCCTTTGTATGGACAATAGGCTTTCAACACTAGTTTAAGTTGTATTTCTTTTACTTTATTTTATATTATAATAATACAATTAGTTTGTGCTTTAAATTTAT